CAACACGAGCACCTTTTGGTTGTATCCCCAGTTCAAGCCAACCCAGGGCAGGCCTGCAGAGAAACTCCAAGCAGCAATCCAAGACCAAATGCTGGGAGCAGCTTTGTCCTCTTCTTCTCCCTCTGTCCCCCTGTCTTCTCCTCTCTCTCTCTCCCACTGAGCCTCTAGATGCTAGAATCCAAGAAGGCTTGCTGTCTCACCTGGCATGCATAGGGTTCTAGGGCACCTTCTTGGGAGATCTGCTGCCTCACTCCCCAGGAACCCCACACGCCTGCCTACCTCCACACCATTCTACCAGTTCTCACTGACACTCCTTCCTAGCAGCATCTCAGGGGTTCTGACCTAGGCCTCCTCTGGATTTCAGGGTGAGCTGGGCAAGCCTGCATGGCATGGGCAGTGGTGAAGATGGATTCTCACAGGGCTCAGCCCCGGGCCCCTGCCTCGACTGGTGATAATAGCAGGACTTCCAGCCTGTCTTCCTCCTGCTGCAGATGAAACCCTGCACCCAAGGTTCTAGTGACACAAGAGTTGAGGGCTCCTGAGTTGGCCCAGCCTCCCTCCACCCCCAGTGTGCACACGTGCACACACACACACACACCTGTTACCACCCCAGAGACATGCATCCTCTCTGGAGACCAAAGCCCACTCACTCCCAGAGCTGGTTCCAAGGGACATCCTCACTGGACTAGTAAGTGTGTCATCTTTCCAGAGGATCCTGTGGAGACTTCACAAGTCCTGAACCTGTTGAGGATTTGAGCATCACTGGCCAGCCCAGGAGAGTCAGCACATTCCGGCTCTTCTCACTCCATTCCACTCATTGCCTGGAAATCAGCCCTTCCATTGTAGCAACTTCCTATCTGCCATGGAAGAGGACAAACAGCTCCTGGCCTGGTCAGCTTAGGAGTCTAGGTACCTTCTCTCTGGCCCCAGCCATCCCTGCTCTGTCTACATCTAGGTTGGGACCCTCTTCCCAGAAAGAAGAGGCCTCAGGGAAACAGAGTTACAGAGAACCCACAGCTCTAGAGCAGACACTGCACCGCACCAGCCTGGCCTGGTCCAGCCCACAACCTCCACATGTGATTCCCCAGGCACTGGCAACTGCCAATAAGTGAGTTTCTGTAAGCACCCCACTCACCAGGTTCCATTCCCAGGGCTCCCAGTGCAGCTGAGGAATCCTATCTCATTCGAGTTGGTGCTCACCTTGTGAAAAGCAGGTCCAGGACCTGCTGGGTGTCCCCAAACCTCTTGTAAGTATTGAAGGAGGTGTGAATGACGACGGAGTCCCTGATCAACTGGGCAGGCACCAAGTGCTCCACCTGCTTCTCCAGTGTGCCTGCCGCAAGGAACTCTGACCCGCGGGCCTTGTCCGTGCACTTTCTCTCATAGCAGAGAGAGCCAGTGAGGAGCAGGGACATAAGACTGATGGCTTTGCTAATGGTTTCCTGCCCTCCACCCCCCCATGTCACCTGGGAAGTCCTCCAGAACAATCTCCAGAGACGGCGGCAGAGGCCAGGGTGCACCCAGCGTGGACAGTCATGCCCCAAGCATCCTCTCTGCCCTTCAGGGGTGAGCCTCCAAACATCTTCTCAATAGACATGATCCACACAAGTCTACTATCCGCGGCTTGTGTGGACTGTAGGTGCCTGGAGGGACCAGGGTTCTAAGTCTTCTGAGCCATTGTGATGTCATCTCTCCACAGCTCTTCACTTGAGCCCTTCTGACCACACCTCTTCAGAGTCCCTTGTTCAGGCTTGTTGAGGCGTAGCCCATTAGTACCACTGGCCAGTGTGACCCCAATCCTCCAGCCCATTGTCCCCTGCTAGACCTGGGGGCAGTGGCATCCATCTTCAGGGAGATCTATACACATGGGGTCATAAGCACACCTCCTCCCCATGTGACCCTGGACATGACTCTGTGTCCCCCAGAGACTCCCATGACCCCGAGGCTCTGATCCATGTGGATCCCCTTGATCAGCTGTTCAGGCTCCTAAGTCCCCGTCTCACCTAGGACAGGAAGTGCCACATATCACTCCCTTGCCAGGGGACGATTGCAAGGAGAGCAGGGACACGAAACCAAATGCCACCTGACCTCTTGGCTACAAGTTCCTCTGCACCACAGGCAGATGCAAACGACTGAGACTCAGAGATCAGGCCCTTGTGCCACAGACCTGCCCATGCCCTCCCATAATTGAGTCCCGTGTCTCAACTCTGCAGATGGCCGTTGTGCTGGGTGTCAAACTCACTGGAACCTCCTGGTGCTCAAGTCTGTGTGTCCCTCCCCTCAAGATAGACTGGCCTCCACACCCGACTTCTAAGTCATGGACCCGGTGACTGACCACTAAGACCCAGTCCAGAAAAGCTGTGGTTTGGGGTGGCTCTATCTCTCCTGGTTTCCTCTCTCCTTCCTGTCTGCCTCACCTCCCATCTCTCATTCTGAGGACTATCTGAGATGTTGTAGGCTGCCTGGTGGACAGGCCTCTGGGGTAAAGACCCACCAAGTCCCATCTAGCAGACAGAAAAACCATCACTGAGGCTCAGCCAAGCGGGTTACTACCACTGCCCCAGCTTCTGTCTCAGTAGAGGCTGCAACCACCACTTCCTGGAGACCTGAACGGTGAGGCCTGGCTGGAGCACGCACAGGAGCTAGGGATTGCTCAGCTGGTTGTCAGCACTGACTTAGGCATGGACAGCTAATGCCATCCCCAGGCCCCGTGTCCTGTCTTGTCCAACCTTCTACCTGTGTCCAACCAACCTGGCCTCATCCCTGGACATACAACTCTTTCTGTTTTCTTTCCTGGTGTCTTTCTCACTTCTGCCTTCATTTCTTCCTTGTCCTGTGAGATTGTGACCGGAAGAGAGATCTTTTGGACACTCCCACTCCTGGCCTGGAGTGGGTGAATGGATGATGTAGTGAGCATTATGGAATACTAACATAGTGTGTTATTGAACAGGGATATATTGAGTGTATGTGTGCTGTGTAGTATGAAATATTAAACTGAAATATGAAATATACACCATAGCTAAGATATGGAACCAACCCAGATGATTAATGTAGATGAATGGATCAAGAAAATGTGGGGTGTATGTATGATGGAATTCTACGTCTCCATCAGAAAAAATGACACCCTCCATTTGTTAGGAAATGGAACGACTTGAAAAAAATTACATTAAGTAAGAAACATAGGTCTCATGGTTTCCCTTATTTGCAATAACTAGTATACATCTAGGATAATCTTACCAGACAAGCAGAAAAGATCAAAAGCTATGTACATAAGAACATATAAGATGATGTTAAACAAAATTAACTCCAAGATAGAGACCCAAGAGGTTTTATTTTTCTTGCTGTTGTTTTTTTAATGTACTTAAAATGTACTATGTGATTTTTTTGTTTCTTTTGTATGTTCAAAATTAACCACAAGATAGGGACATAAGATATTTTATTGTTCTTGCTGTTGTTTTTAATGTACTTAAAATGTACTATGTGACTTTTTTTGTTTCTTTTGTATGTTCTTCCCCCATGGAATAACGCATTTTCATTCACTGTATTTGATTCTGGTGCCTTGCATCTTGTATATACATTTTTCTAATATGGGGAGGGGAAGGGAAATAACAAAATGCTGAAACAAGGATACAGGTTGACCCATTGTAACAATGAGATGTACAAAACACTATGTTGAAAACCAACTTTACAACTTGGCAGGGGGGGGGCAGATTTGGAAAGGAAAGGGATGGTAGGGGAAAAACAAAGGAGGGGGTAACAATACTTGATAGGAAATGTACTCACGTAGCTGTAACCCCTCTGTACAGTATCTTTACAGTTAAAAAATATATTAAAAATAAAACTATAGAGGGGCTGGGAAGGTGGCTCAGTGGAAAAGTGCTTGCCTTGCATGCATGAGGCCCTGGGTTCGATTCCTCAGCACCAGATAAGCAGAAAAAGTCGGAAGTGGCACTGTGGCTCAAGTGGTAGAGAACTAGCTAGCCTTGAGCTGAGGAGCGGAGGGACAGTGCCCAGGCCCAGAGTTCAGGCCCCACAACCAATAGAAAACAAAAACAAAACAAACCCCAAAACGATGGAATACAGAGCTAAGTACACACCCAGGGAGCCAAAGATGTTTCCAAGGCAACCAGCTGAAGCAGAACCTGCAGCGATAACCAGACATGGCCAGAAGCAAAGAAGCCCAGCCTAAAACATAAAAACCCAGGGCAGCGGAGACCCAGTGAGACGACCTCCCTGAGCAAGTCAACTCCAGGTCAGACCGATCCTCCACTGAAGCGCCTTGCCAGGGTGGCCGCTACTCCCTCCAGCGATCCGGAGCAGCTTGGAAGACACCCTAGATGGACTTTCCTTTACCTCCAGACCAAGTGACATGCCACATGAGCTCCCTGGATGTGGGACATGATCAGTAAAATTAGGCATAAAAGTTAGTTATTGGTGTGGATTAATACTGGAAAACTTGAAGTGATTGAATAAATATAGTTGAATAATTAGTGTGATGCTATATGCGTGCTTGGTGCAGCTTCAAACTCACCTTACTGTGTCTGCCTCCTCATCCTCTCATCGAACAATGACGTCACAACAGCTAAAACTCTACTTCTGACGCCAATCATCTCAGCTACAAGAGCCAATATGGGGCTACTCTCCCCACATTTGGCCACCTTTAAAACTCTTTTGAGCCAGGCACTGGTGGCTCATGCCTGTAATCCTAGCTGCTCAGGAGGCTGAGATCTGAGGATCATAGTTATTGAAGCCAGCCTAGGCAGGAAAGTCCATGAGACTTTCATCTCCAATTAACCAACAACAAGCTGGAAATGGAGCTGTGGCTCAAGTGCTGGGCTAGGGTGTAGGACCTGAGTTCAAGCCCAAGGTCGGGCATGCACACCCTCACCCACACATGCGCATACCCTCTTTTGCCAAACACAAGGCTTTAGGGATTGGTGTGCTGGATGGGGGTCAAGGATACCCTCCCTCATCCTGGAGACAAGAACCAACAAAACTGGGGGTATTTCATCCCCTGGGGATGCATTTAATAGGGGGAGCCTTTGCCAGCCAGGGGTGGGGTAACCGGTGAGGATGGCCAGATCAGGTGGAGGGTCAGAGGTCAGCAGAAGGCTGGGGGTAGGCCTTCCGGTACAGGTAGATGATGCCAGAAATGAAGCCATCCTGGGCCAGGGCTCTGGGAGCCACCTCCCGCTCGGAGGTGGCCAGCTCCCAGTGGTCTACTGGCTGGGCTACCAGGCATTCCCATGCCCCAGCCCGCTCCAGCTGGTCCAGGGAGGCCTCCAGCGCCTCCTTGTAGGGAAGGTTAGATGGGTTGGTCCGGGTGGTCAGGCACACCAGCCCGCCTGGAAGCAGGGGAGGCACAGGGATGCTGGGTGAGAGCAGGGCTCCAGTTCCAGGCCCAGCCTGCTGGGGAGGGTCGTCCCTTCCCACTCCCATGTCCACCCCACCTTCAGGTTCCCGAAACTCTCCAAGAAAAAAAATTCTGTTTGGTTTCTTCAGCTTGATTAACTCCTACACACCCTTCAAAGCCCAAACAGCCTATATACTGAGAATATTTATTTATTTATTGTCAGTCATGGGGCTTGAACTCTGGGCCTGGGCACTGTCTCTTAGCTCTTTAGCTCAAGGCTAGCACTCTACCACTTGAGCCACAGGCCGCTTCTGGTTTTCTGGAGGTTTACTGGAGATTAGTCTCACGGACTTTCCTGCCCGGATTGGCTTTGAACCATGATCCTCACATCTCAGCCACCTGAGTAGCTAGGATTACAGGCACAAGCCACCAGCACCTGGCATATACCGAAACTTTTTTTTCCCCTTTCTCTAGCCCAAGCTAGCCCTGAACCCTTGATGCTCTGCCTCAGCTTCCCCAATACAGGGATTCCAAGTGCACCTCACCAGGGAGTGGCTGGCTTGATGTTCATGCATTCTGCTGGAGGACAGGGCTGTGTTTCCATACACAGGAAATAAGCCCGTGGACACTGGACCTTGGGCAAGAGACCCTGCATGTCTCTAAGACTCAGTTTCCCCATCCCATGTGAGCAGATGGCCAGGGCTCTGGTTGGCTGAGAGGCCTACCAACCACAGGCTGGTACTGGGCCCAATGGGAATTTCTAGCCTTTCTGAGCCAAAAGCTTGTTTCTCTTCCCCCAGGCCAGTAGGACATGCCAGCATCTGATGACCTCCTCGGCTCTAGGAAGACAACGCCTGTCCAGACCTGCACAGGCACAGTCAAATCAGGGCCAGCCAGGGAGATGGTAGGAGAGAAAGGGTTTCTGGGCTGGAGTGCCAAGCATTCAGGGCGCAGCCTCTCCCAGTCAGCACCCCTGCCCCTCAGCAGAGAGTCGCCTAGAACCTGCTTTTGTTGGCCCCATGGGTGAACTCTGCCCAGCCTCCATTGTGCACCCTTTGCTCCGAGTCCGTCTCTCCTGCAGCTACTTAGCAATCACCCCGGGCTCCAACAACAGCAAACATCTTGTGACCAAAGACAAACTGTCCCCAGAGAGAATAGCCAAACAGTAATCCTCCTGCCAACAGTGACCTGCTCATTTCTGCTCCCTCAAGTTTGAACAACTTTCCTGGAGTTCTTCCAGAGACAGAGACTGAGATTGTGGTCACCTGGCTATGCCAGGGCCTTAGGGTGGTTCCAATGGAGCACACCTGCCTCCTCTACCCCAGTTCTTTAACCCAAAGCTCAGGGGGCATCCTGAAGGTGGCTGGCGGTGTATTCAAATGCTGTTCCCCTCCCCACCTCCCTGCTTCCCGTGTCAGTTCTGGGGTTTGAACTGAGGGTCTGGGAATTGTCCCTGAGCTCCTCTGCTCTGCCACTTGAACCACAGCTCTAGTTTGGGCATTGTTGGTGGTTTACTGGAGATAAGAGTCTCATGGACTCTCCTGCTCGCACTGGCTTCAAACTGCAATCCTCAGATCTCAGCCTGCTGAGCAGCTGGGGTTAGAGGTGTGAGCACCATGTCTTGCCTGAGCACCAGCCCGGCCATGGTGGCGTTTTATCTGGTATATGGGGATGTCAGGCTCTAAGGGGGACTCCTGAAGACAGGGAGTGAGTCTAAATTCCCATTTCAAATTCAGGAGAGAGAATCCTCAAGGCCATCTCTGAGTTAGTGGGGAGTCAGAAGACAAGGGTGTTGAAGAGAAGAAATCTCTACTTCTAGGAGCGGTACAAGCTGAAACAAAGGCTTGGGGACATGATTCACCCAGCTGTCACCACTGTCCCGTGGGAAGGGACCCAGGGATAAGAGTGGGGACAAAGACAGTGGATGGGGTGCAGCTGGCAGAGACAAAAGGCTACAGAACCCTTCTCCCTGCTCAGAGCCTGAGTCCCCTTCCACTGGAGGTGTGTGGGGTGGAGGCCTGGGCTGGCAGCTGGGGCTGGGTGCCCTCCCTGGCCTGTGGGTACAGTGGGAAGGGGTCTGGGGGAAAGGGAGGGGTATGGGAGAGGGGGCCACTCCTCACCTGGCTTCGTGACTCGTAGGAGCTCTGGTATCACAGTGCAGGGCACTTGGCCGTGGCTGAGGGCGCCCACTATGAGAACAGCATCGAAGGTCCCTGTGGTGGAGAGTGGGGTGGGTGTGGCCTCAGACCACCCTAGAGGCCAGGACCCCATGGTGGGTCCTGGAGAGGGACAAGCCTGTCACCAGTCTCTGCAAGACACAGGTATCAAGAGTACACCCAGAGCTGGGCTCCTGTAAGATGCTGGAGAGGGGCTCACAGAAGTGAAGGGGAGGGTTGGGCTGGGAAGGGGGTTCTCTATTTCTGTGCTGTTACTGGGGCTCGAACTCAGGGCCTGTGCTGTCCCTAAGCTTTTTCTCTCAAGGCTGACACTCTACCACTTGAGTCATGGCTCCACTTCCAGCTTTTTGGTGGTTCATTGGAGATAAAAGAGTCTTACAGACTTTCCTGCCTGTGCTGGCTTTGAACTGTGACCCTCAGAGCTCAGCCACCTGAGTAGCTGGGATTATAGGTGTGAGCCATGGGTGTGTGGTGGGGGCTCTCTTCTTGTGACGGTGAATGATGGCTTTGGGGTGATGGGGTGGGCAGGGAAGTACCTTCAGGGCTGGGCAGAGGCTCCTGGCCCAGGGTGCAGAGGCTGAGCTTCTGGTAGAGGCCACGGGCTTGAGCCTGCTTGAGCATCTCTGGACTGCCATCCACCCCATGCAGCTGAAGGAAGCCTCGGGCCTGAAGCTGGGGTGTGGGGGGGAGGGGGGCTGGAGTGATGGCCCTGCTCTGCCTTCAGCAGCTGGGGCTCTGCGCCCTGGGAGGGTAACAGACTTGGCAGATAAACCAGAGACAGGAGGCAGGAATGGGTCAGGGCCAGAAGGATGTGTGGTCAGTGGGGTGCTGGATGAGGAGGGGCAGAGAATGTGGGGAGGCCTCACCTGGGAAGCTACCAGGCCAGTGCCGCAGGCCACGTCCAGGATCAGGGACTCAGGAGCCAGGCCTGGACAAGTGTTTATGAGACAGTCCACTGCAAGGCGGGGGGCTCGGTACTGCAGGGCGGCCACGTCCTGGGATCAGAGGGTGAGCATGTACCCCGGTGCTCCAGTGTTTGGGGAGTCCCTGTGCTAGCTGAGCTGGTGTGGATGGAGATCTGGGGCTAGTGGGGATACAGTGAGGAGAGACTCAGGTGTATGGTGGCTTCTAGCACTGCGGGGGGTGGGGGGTGGGGGGGAGGGCATCCTGTTGACGACAGACCCCGCCCCGCCCCCCTCCCCCAAGCTCGGCCTGCCGGGCACCTGCTCAGCAGCTCAGGGACTGCACCAGGCGGCCCTCCTCCAGCTCCAGGCAGGCTCAGCATGGGGAGCGGGCGCAGGGCCCCCGGGTGGGGCCTGCAGTTACCTGGTCATAGTCCTGAGCCCAACGGTCATAGAAGTGGAGCTTTTGGGCCGGGTCGGTGAGGCCGTGGGCGGCCTCCACCCTGGCCCGCACCTCCTCCGGGGCCATCCTCGGGGTCACGGCTTCCCCAGGCATCCCGGGTCCGCAGGCTGGGTCAGCGGATCCGCCCCTCTCCCTGACACCCCGGCCGGGCGGCTCCGCGCCAGGGCCCCAGGTGACGCACAGGCCGCGAACTCACAGCAGGCCCAGAGCTCCCGGATCCTGGCCCCGGAAACCACCGGGGCAGGCGCCCACCTCTCCAACCCCCCTCCTCCCCCGCTTCCTCGACGATGATTGGGTTTCTGCTGAGACAAAGCAACCAGTAAGAAGAGAGCACAGGCAGCCCGCCCCCTGGCCCTAGCCAAGGCTCCTGCCCTCCTCCCCCCCTCTCAGCCTCTCAGTGTCTCTGCAACTGTGCTAACAATTCTTTATAGAGCCCGGTGCTGGGTGCTTGGTTAACAGGCCGGCGAGTGTGGGTACTGGATTCGAACTTTTAGTTGGTCTTCATAATTTAATTAGCCACATTTTGTTGCACATTCTGTAAGGATCGCGGTTCGAAGCCAGCCCAGTCCGTGAGCACAGTCCTGAGCCTCTCCAGTGAACCACCAGAGAGCCAGGAGTGGCCCTGTGGCTTCAGGGCAGGCTGGGGTGACAAAGCCGGGCGACAGGGCCCTGCAGGCCCCTGAGCTCTAGGAAGGACAGGACTGGACAGAACATCTGGAGGACCGAGATGCCCGGAGGAAAGGCTCAGCGGGGCCCCTAGGACAGGGGGCCCCACGAGGGGACACTGGCCGGGCCAAGGAGGGGGCGCGCCCTGGAGACCCAGACAGCAGCATCCCCGGAAGCCACGGAAGCAGAACCAAGACGCACAGGTCAGCCAGGCTCCGAGGCCCAGACTGTGCAGTGACCACACGGCCTCTCCATCCTTTCTGACTCCACAAAAGCCTAAGGCTCGCAACTGACTGGAAGATGGGCCTCACCCCGTGGCTGCTGCACAGTGGAGGAATTCCTCTCTGCCCTTCGCCACCTTCTGCCTCCTTGTGTGGCTTAATGGAGCGAGTGGCCAGATCAGAGCCCCTAGAGTCAGGCCTGTGGCCCCAGGATCACAGGTGTGTGCAACTGTGCCCAGCTAGGTTTTGCTTCTACATTTTTTAATTTCATATAATATCCCTTCCTGGGTTTGAAATCAAGCATAAGAAAGCTATTTGGGCCGGGCACCAGTGGCTCAGCCCCTAAGCCCAGCTATTCAGGAGGCTGAGATCTGAGGATCGTGGTTCAAAGCCAGCTCAGGCAGGAAAGTGGCACTGTGGCTCAAGTGGTAGAGTGCTAGCTTTGAGCAAAAGAAGTGCAGGGACAGCACCCAGGCCCTGTGTTCAAGCCCTAGGACAAGCAAAAAAAAAAAAAAAAGGAGTGTAGAGTTGGCACCGTTGAGGAGCGTGTACCAGAGGGTAGGGGGGTGGGGAAGGTGAAGGGGGTGAAGGTGGCCCGTGGTACTCATTTGCGTATATGAAAACCCAACCATGACCCTGGTTAGACTTGTTTTCAGATATGCAGAGAGGTTAGGGAGAGTGCTCCAGGAAGTAAAGTTGATCTGGATACATTGTTTATGTGTGTGGAAATACCACAGTGTAACTCCTTGCACAACTCATGCTAATAAAAGTTACCATGGAAGAAAATAATCCTGTGAGGATAAACAGGCATTGATCATTTCTGTGTACTTCTGGAGAAAAAAATAGTGAAGATTAGAAATGAAATGACCTTTTAACCTTGGAACAGTAAACAAAGGAGGACAATAGGGGCGGGCCCATGTTTTGCCCTCATCCTTTCCGCCTCCAGCAACCCTGGCTAGACCTGCATCAGCCCGGACTTGGATGCCACACCATTGCGCACCGGCCTGGCCGGCGGAGGGCCCTGCGTCTTCTGCCCCCTGGTGGCTGCGCCGCCGCACTGCGCTTCTGGAGGCTCACCAGAGATGGGTGAGAGAAGCACTCCTGGGACTTTGGAGTGAGGGGGAGAGAAGGCCTTAAGAATCTAAATGGCAGGCAGGGCCATTATTCCTGTTATCTTTATTTTATATTTTGTTGGTCCTGGGGATTTAACTCAGGGCCTGGGAGCACTGTCCCTGACCTCTTTTGCTCAAGGACAGTGTTCTACCACTTTGAGCCACAACTCCATTTCTATTTTTTGTTTGTTCTGTTGGTTGATTGGTTATTCATTGGAGATGAGAGTTTTGTGGACTTTTCTTGCCTGGGCTGGCTTTGAATGTTGATCCTCAGATCTCAGCTTCCTGAGTAGCTAGGATAACGGGTGTGAGCTTATTTATTCATTGTCTTCACTCTCTGTTGCCTTCCTTCCTTTCTTCTCTCTCTCTTCTCTCTCCCTCGCTTTCTTTCTTTCCTTTTTGTGTGTGTATGCTGGTACTGGGACTTGAACTCAGGGCCTGGATACTGCCCCTTAGCTCCTATCCAGCCTGCAAAACTCACCCCGGGCAGTACTGGTGGAAGTCCTGTGAGTGCTGGGAAAATGGAAGTGAAGGGAGGAGCAAGGGCTGAGGGTGGAGCCCCCACTCCACCCCACCCTGCCCTGGCCTGAAATTAGTGAGTGAACTGAGACACCTGGAGAAGATGAAAGGCACTTTGATCTCTGAGCGCAGGGTGCCATGTACAGTCGTACAAGAGTGTCTGGTTGTGCGTGTGCAAAGGCCGGGGCAGTGCCCACCCTTTATCTCACAGCCCAGGAAACACTGTGCTCCAGGTCCCGGCTTCCCTCGGGATTACAAGTCAGAGCCTTATCCATGGTTCTAGAAAATTCTCTGAGACTCTGTAGGAGAAAGTGAGCAATTTCTTCCTTTTCCTCAGAATCTGCCCTCCTCAGAGCACAGGGAAGTATCTATGCTGGCAGTTCCTCTTTCCTCCATCTGTAACCCATTCCAGGAATCCACTGAGTGTGGTGGTGCACACCCCTAATCTGGGCACTCTGAAGGCTGAGGCAGGAGGATCACTAATTAGAGGGTAGCCTGGAATATAAAGTGAGACTGTCTTTTTTAGGTGTGTGTGTGTGTGTGTGTGTGTGTGGCTTTTTGGTGGTTCATTGGAGAGAAGAGTGTCAAGGAGCTGGGTGCTGGTGGCTTACACCTGTAATTGTAATTACTCTGGAGGCTGAGATCGGAGGATTGCAGTTTGAAGCCAGCCTGGGCAGGAAACTCCATAAGACACTTATCTCCAATAAACTAAACTGCTCAAAGAAGCCAAAAGTGGTGCTGTGGCTCAAGTAGTAGAACGCTAGCCTTGAGCACAAAGAGGCTCAGAGACAGCAACCAGGTCCCGAGTTTAAGCGCCCACAACTGACAAAAACAGAGTATCAAGGACTTTCCTTCTCTGGCTGGCTTTGAACCATGATCCTCATATCTTAGCCTCTCGATAAGCTAGAATCCCAGGCCTGAGCCCCTGGCACCAGGCACAAGACTTTGTCTTAAAAACAAAAACAAAAATAATCCCCAAACTAATAGCAAACTAAAGCACTGAGCACTCAGGACCAGCAGGTGACTCACATGGCGGGGCGGGACTGGACGGGGTGGGACTGGACGGGGCGGGACTGGACGGGGCGGGACTGGACGGGACTGGACGGGACGGGACGGGACGGGACGGGACAGGGCGGGACAGGTGGAGCTGCCTTCAGGTTTGCACAGACGCTTTTCTGTCTGCCTCAGGCTTCTTCCCTGTGGTTCTGGGGCCAAAGGTTTGTTTCCTTGGCCTTTGTTACCTTGCTTGTGTGTGTGTGTGTGTGTGTGTGTGTGTGTGTGTGTGTGTCTGTGTGTCTGTGTGTCTGTGTGTCTGTGTGTCTGTGTCTCCAGGGTTTAAACCAAGGGCCTCAGGTTTGCTAGGCAGGTGCTCTACCACTTGAGCCCCATTCTTAGTATTTTACCTTCTATTTTTCAGTTACGTTTTAACTTTCACAGGTCCCAGAGCTGATCTGGGACTATGATCCTTTTATCTCCATCTCCTTGAGTAGCTGAGACCACAGGTGTGTGTATCACCTTGTCCAGCTTTTTTTTTTTTTCTTTCCTGTTTGTCATGGGGCTTGAACTCTGGGCCTGGGCCTATCTCTCAGCTCTTCAGCTCAAGGCTAGTGCTCTACCACTTGAGCCATAGTGCCACTTCCAGTTTTCTGGTGGTTAATTGGAGATAAAAAGTCTCACAGACTTTCTTGCCTGGGCTGGCTTTGAATCTCGATCCTCATCTCTCAGCCTCCTGAGTAGCCAGGATTGCAGGCATGAGCCACTAGCCCCTGGCTCCAGTTTTTTTTTTTTTTTTTGGTCCAGTCATGGGGCCTGAACTCTGGGCCTGGGCGCTGTCCCTCAGCTCTTCAGCTCAAGGCTAGCACTCTACCACTTGAGCCACAGCGCCACTTCCGGCTTTTTTCTTTTTTCTTATGTGGTGCTGAGGAATTGAACCCAGGGCCTCGAGCATGCAAGGCAAGCGCTCTACCACTGAGCCACCTTCCCAACCCCTCCAGTTTTTTTCCATATTCTTTATTGTGATTAAGTGATTACATAAATTTCCCAAATTTCACAGTATTGTGGGATAGTGATGCTTAAAGTCCCAAACACATTCTAACTTTGATGGGGCAAATTATCTATTGTGGTCTATAACATTTACAAGTTCTGGGCTGGGAAGGAAGCTCAGTGGTAGAGCGCTTGCCTTGCATGCATGAGGCCCTGAGTTCAATTCCTCAGCACCACATTAAGTAGGAAAAAAAAAACATTTACGAGTTCTATGAGCTTTTCAACGCAGTTATTTCTTCCACATTGGGTGATATGTACATTTCTTTTGTTTTGCATAGCATCAGCTGTTCCCTCCCTCCCATCGCTGCCATTGAGTTGCTTAGTTCATTTTGATCAATGTCCGGTGCAGCTGATGGGTCCCGCTGTTGTATGTTTTTCCCTGATTCCCTCTAGTTCTGTGTCCTCCTCCTGGTTTCCCTCCAGTGTGCATATATATACCATATATGTGATCAGCAACAAGGGGTTATTTAGTAGTGATTCGACCAGATGAGTAGAGGTGCTTTGTTTCTCAAGTCTTGTTAACTTTGTCGTGTCGCCTTACGTTTTGGATTTAACATCCACTTATGTGCTGTTTGTCTCTTTGCTCTTGGCTTACCTCGTTCAACATGATTTCTTCTAGTTCCATTCATTTCCCTGCAAATGCCATTATTTTGTCCTTTCTAATGGCTGCATAATATTCCATTGTGTATAGATATCACAAGTTTTGGATCCATTCATCTGTGGGGACATCTGGGTTGTTTCCATATCCTAGCTATTGTGAACAGTGCTGCAATAAACATGGAGGTGCACGTGTCCTTGTATACTGGTTCCTGTTGTTCAGGATAAATGCCTAGAAGTGGTATGGCTGATCATAGGGGAGGTCAATATTTAGCTTTCTGAGGACCCTCCAGACTGCTTTCCACAGTGGTTATATAAGTGTACATTCCCACCAGCAGCATAATAAGGTTCCTCTTTCTCCGCATCCCCTCCAGCATTTGTCGTTGGCTGACTTAAGGATGTGGGCCATTCTGACTGGGGTAAGGTGGTATCTCAGGGTTGTCTTTATTTGTACTTCTTTCACAACCAGGGATGGTGAACATTTCCTCATGTGTTTTTTGCCATTTTTATCTCTTCTTCTGAGAAGTCTCTCTTTAGTTCCCTTGCCCATTTAGTAATTGGTTTGTTAGGTTGGGAGGGATTAGTTTCTTGAGTTCCCTGTATATACTGGATATTAATCCCTTGTCTGATATATTGCTGGTAAATATTTTTTCCCCAGTTAGTCGGTTGTCTTTCTAGCTTGGTTGCTCTGTCTTTAGCTGTGCAGAAACTTTTTATTTTAAGGCAGTCCCATTTGTCAAATCCCTCTCCAATTTGTTGTGTCCAGCTTACTTTTGAGATAGGGTCTTGTGAACTTTTTGCCTGGGCTGGCCTTGAACTATGATCTGCCCATCTCTGCCTCCAGGGATGTAGCTGGGATGATAGCTGGTGTAACCATGCCTGGATAACCAGTCTTTCCTGTTCTTGTTGAATGTGAAGGAGACTTTACTCCAAGAGCCCAGCCCTCTCTCCCCTGGCCATGCTGGCCCAGACTTGGGTTGTGGTCCTACAGGGAGCCAGGGAAAGGGGGGATTGTCTCTTGTGGCAACATGGTCCCCGCGGTAACTTGGCTCCCTCCTTGTGACATCTCTGAGGTCATGCTGCCTTTTCTCAGCTGGAAGAGTGAGGGGAGGGCAGACATGGAGGCCAACCCTCCACTCCGATCCAGCCTCCTGGGAGTTCTGCTGCAGGTTGGGCGGCTCTCGGCTCTGGTGAGTTGAAGACGGAGGACAGGGCAGCTTCTTCCAGCCACCTCAGTGAGGGCACACAGGCCCAGGGGCTCTGGAGAAACTGCTCCCCAATGTCATCCTCCCATGCCTGCCACCTTTCTCTGTCCCCAATGTCACCTTGCCCCTGGCTCTCCTGAGATACAGGTGTGATCTTCAGATCTCAGCCCCCTGAGTAGCTGGGATAACAATTGTGATCCTCGGCCAGGTGCCAGTGGCTCACACCTGTAACCCTAGCTACTCAGGAGGCTGAGATCTGAAGATTGCTGTTCAAAGCCAGCCCAAGAAGAAAAGTCCATAGGACTTTTATCTCCAATGAACCATGAGAAATCCAGACGCGGTGCTGTGGCTCAAGTGGTAGAGAGCTAGCCATGAGCATAAGAGCTCAGGGCCAGTGTCCAAGATCTGAGTTCAAGCTCAGGGACTCACACAACACACACACACACACACACACACAATGATCCTGTGGTGTGAACCCTCCTGAGTATCTGGTATTACAGATTTGACTGCAGCACCCGAAAGCCCCATTTCTTTCTCCATGGAGGTGGGTGGCACTGGGTGACCTGGGTGTCCTGCTCCTCCGCAGGTGGTCCGGAACCGCGTGCACTTGTACAGCTTCCTGCTGGTGAAGATCGGCCTCTTCCGGTGTTGGGTGTTGGGGCTGGCACAGGAGGCCCGAGGCTCCTGCAGCACCCAGGCCTACCTGTTCCCGGAAGCTGACGCCTGCTCCCTGGGCCAGGCTGTGCGAGCGGGGCTGACTCTGCTATGGGTTCCCGTGTGGCTGCTGCTGTGGTGGCTCCGGCTGCTGTGGTCATCGGGGCTGGGCTGTGTGGGGACCCTGGGCCTTGCCCTGCAGCGCCTCGGTACCTGCGAGTGGCCGGGCCTGCCTGTGGTCACCTGGAGGGAGCTGCTTCTCACCTGTCTGCACAGCCTGATGCTCGTGGCTTTGCTGCTGCTGCTGCTGCCCTGGAGATTGTTCCAGAAGGTGAAGCGCTTCAGCCTGAGCTGGCTGCCTGGACAGGTGGGTCCGGGTAAGGCCAGTAGGACGTGGGTGTGGTCAACCAGGGGCGTGGCAAGGATGGGGCATGGTCGTGGTGGGCGTGGCTTTGGTGGGCAGGGCCACGAGGGGGCGTGGTTGGGGCAGGTGGGTTGGGCGGTGGGGCCAAGATTAGGCGTGGACAGGAAGAGAGTGTCAAGGCCAGTCAGGGTGTGGGCGTGGCCGGGGCGGGGCTTGGGTCAGGGCCTTTATGGGCTTGGGTGGGCATGGCCAGCACAGGGCTTGGGCGGGCCGAGGGGCAGTTTGGGGCCATGAGGGGCTCAGGGTACCCCCGAGGTTCACCCACCTGCCCTCTTGCTGCCCAGGACTTGCTGTGGGAGCCCCTGGGGCGGATGCAGCGGCTGTACTGGTGGGCGGAGCATGGGGCGGCACTGGCCTCCTGGCACCTGGCCTACCTCATCACCTGGACCACCTGCCTGGCCTCCCACCTGCTCCAGGCTGCCTTTGAACACACAGCCCAGCTGGCCGAGGCCCAAGATGCTGACCCTCAGGAGGCTGGGGGGCCCTTACAGGAGCCCCCACTGCCTGAGGGCTCCACCCCGAAGGCCGAGCCTGCCCTGCCAGAGCCTGGAGAATAAATGCCCGCATCTGTGTCTGGTGGTCTGCCCTGGCTCAGCACACTGCCCCTTCCTTTCTAGGCTGGGGGGGCCATTCAGAGTTGGGATAGCCGGGACAGCTGGGCTGACCGCAGATGCCGGCCCAGGGGCCTCTAAAGGAAACCACAGCCCTCCTAGTCCCTTCCTGGGGTCAGATAGCAGCCCATCGCCTAGCAACTGGCATCTGGATTTTATTAGCCCCACTTCCAGATGACAGAACTTGAACCCAAGGGATTAAACCTTCCCAGGGCCCCAGAACCAAGTTAATGGCAGAGCCAGAGCCTTTGTCTTCGACAGATTCCTAACTTTGTGTGTGCTCTTGTCGCTCTTGCCCAGGTTCTTTGGTGCCCAGGACTTTAGGAGAGATTGCAGTTACAGACCTGGTCCTCTGGGTGGCGCCAGGGCCTCATATTTGAGAAAGGGAGATTTTTTTTTTTTTGTGCCAGTCCTGGGGCTTGAACTCAGGGCCTGGTCACTGTCCTTGAGCTTCTCTTGCTCAAGGATAGTACTCTACCACTTGAGCTACAGCGCCACTTCTAGCTTTTTCTGTTTATGTGGTACTGATGAATTGTCATACATGCTAGACAAGCACTCTACCACCCAGCCACATTCCCAACCCCAAGAAAAAAAATTTGGGGGGGGTCTGGTCGTGGGGCCTGAACTCTGGGCCTGGGCGCTGTCCCTCAGCTCTTCAGCTCAAGGCTAGAGCTCTGCCACTTGAGCCACAGCGCCACTTCCGGCTTTTTTTTCTGCTTATATGGTGCTGAGGAATCGAACCCAGGGCCTCATGCATGCAAGGCAAGCGCTCTACCACTGAGCCACCTTCCCAGCCCCCCCAAGAAAAATTTTTAAGAACTTACTTCTAAGCAAGTTGCAACTAGTTCATTCATGTATTCTCACACTGCTCTTCACAGAGCCACCCACTTACCCATCATCCACCCATTCACTCATCATCCACTCCTCCATCATCCATCCGCCATCCCTCCCTCCCTCCATCCATCCATCCTTTATCCTCCATCATCCATCCATCATCATCCATCATCATCCATCTACCATTCATCCATCCATCATCCATCATCCATCCATTCATCATCATCCATCTACCATCTATCCATCTATCCCTCCATCCATCATCCATCTTTCCATCATCATCATCATCCATCTACCATCATCCATCTATCCATCCACACATCATCCATCATCCATCCATCCATCGTCCATCCGTCATCCACCCACTCATCTGTTGAGTTACCATTCATCTCCCTGGGGAACAGGGAACCTTAGCCAATCTCCTCCACACTCTCCCTTACAAACATCTACTTACAACTAAGGACAGAGTCCACCTGCCACCTCCCTACCCTCTGGGCTGGAGGCTTGCACTAGATGGGACAGGCAGCCAGAAGTGACTTTATGCATGTGATATTTCTTCTAACTTATTTTTTGGCAGTCCTGGAGTGCTGTACATGCTTCCAGCCCCTTTTTTCAGTTTTTGTTTCTGGTCTCACTTTCTTCCCTGCGCATGCACCTGTGGTGGGATCTACCTATTTCTGGCTCCTGGTGGCTGCTGGGAAAGCATGTTGGTCCCCCCAATCTTTGCCTCCCATGTAGCTTAGAAGTGTGTACCACAGTTCCAGCTATGAGTTGAGAAGGGGGCTCTCATAAAAAAATTTTTTTTTGCCAAAGGGTGGCCTTGAATGGTTATCCTCCCATTCACAGCCTCCTAAGTAGCCAGGATTCAACTAACATTTAACATAATAAAACAACCCCCAAATGGAGGGCTAGGGCCAAAATGCCTTCCCTTCTCTGACTCTGTACTTTGAGACCCTGTGGACCGCTGCTGTATGTTTCTTTCTTGGGGAGCTTATTTGCATATAGCAAACTTGTCTGGGCTCAGAGAATTCCCTGTAATGTTAGTGGGATTTCTTCAGATACTGCTGCTCTGCATCTGATAGTATGCAGCCCACGGGGGTCCTTTTCAATGGCTACATGGAGGCTGGCATGCCTGCTCTGGGGTTGGAAGGCCTTTGGGGTGCAGGCTGGGAGGGAGATCTGCCTGGGGAGCTCCCCTCTCACCTCCACGTGCTCTGCTCCCTGCTCCTGACTCTCCCTGGGAGCCAGGGTGTGGGCCTGCCGGGAGGCGCCCCAGGCTGGGGCAACGGCTAGAAGGCAGGAGGTTGCCACGTCAGGACCAGGAGGGGCAAGTTTCACCTCAATCCTCCTGTATTTGTTTAAAAATAGAAAGAGGAAAATGTCAATATCATGGTATCTAATTTCACTGCCCAGGCTTAGTATGGGGCTCTAGATGATGCATGGATGGGTGCATGCATGTACGGGTGGATTTGTGGATGGGTGGACTTATGGATGGATGAAGAGAAGAAAGAATGGATGAATATATGGACGGGTGGATGGGTGGACAGACCGAAGGATGGATGGATGGATGGATGCATGCATGCATGCATGTCTGTGCCTGTGCTTGGCAAGGTAGTGTGGGGACACGCTGAACTCTTCAGGGAAATGGCCACTATGGCCAGACTTGTGACAGAGTGTGCACATGGGAGACATAATGGTGAGAAGTTTTAAGTTTTGGTGCTACGGCTGCTCAGGGAGCAGCAGTTCCTGCCTGGAAGACCCTCCTGAACATGCTGCACTGACACTGTGCTGCGAAGGAAGACCGTTCTGGGCTATGGCCCTATATCGCCCCCTTGTGGTGGGAGCTCTGACAGGCCCCGGCCTGGCTGGACCTGGGGCTCTTGGCCATGGTGGCTCCTCTCTGCTCCAGTCCTCCATGGGCAGGGCCCTGGCTGGGCTCTGGGTTCAGGCTAATCCCACTGTTCTCTGGAGGGGTGCAGCCTGGGCTCCCAGGGCAAGCATGGAGACCCAGGCCCTTCCCTGTGTGGCTAGCAACCCCAAGAGAAGGTAGAGACAGCTGTATGCTTGGATCAGGGATAGGGGATCCCCAATGGGAGAGCCACAACGGAGGGCCTCAGTGCCCAGGCCTTGCTCCCAGAGGCTCTAGGTGGGAGGTGGGGCTGGGTTAGAGTCTGGCCAGGTTTCCTGAGTCCTCAGACACCATTCCCCTCCCCGCCCCAGCACAGGGCCAGCACCAGAAACATGTCTCCGGGTCTCTGGGTCCTGCTTATGGCTCTGGGGCTTGAAAATGAGTCATCTCTCTTTCTTTTTTTGTGTGCCAGTACTGGAGATTGAAGTCAGGACCTGTGTGCTTTCCCTTAACTTTGTTGGTTCACAGGTTCATTACCACTTGAACCACAGCTCCACTTCCAGCTTATTTTTTGGATGGTTAGGTGAAGATCACTAGCTTTCCCATCCCGGACTTGTTTTGCACCATGATCCTCAGATTTCAGCTTCCTGAGTGGCTGGGATTACAGGCGTAAGCCACCAGTGTCCAGCTCATCCATGCTTTTTAAGAACTTTGACATTTTGGAGGCAGGACTTGGGAGGAAGGACCCCGTCTGCCCTTGGCTGTGTCCAAAGAGAAGCTGTGGGGTGAGAAGGCTCAGGGCTCATCAGGTCTCCGCTGCGTGGCGTGATGTACTTCAAGTTAACCCTGTGGGACTCTGTCTCCCCACTTGCGATCTGACCACTACCACAACACCCTGGCATGTGGGACAGGCAAGGGGTGCTATGTCAGGCACCCAAACACCCCAGCTCCTTTCTCCTAAATTTCTAGGACCGGCAAGGGGGCTGGGTGGTCAGTCCCTTCCTTCCCTGGCGGCGGGGAGAGTGCAGGGGCCCCGGCTGGCTGGAAGAAAACAAGTGGAGGTTGGCGGGCGAGGGGGGCGTGGGCAGAGGGGGACTGGCCAGCAGTTCCACGCAATCTGTCTGCTATGCGCCTGGGGCCTAGCCTCTATTTATTTATGCTGAGCGTATATTGACATCAGCCACGTTCTCATTATTAGGGCAGGAAATGGCTGGGATTGTTACATACCTGGCGGCCCCAGGGTCCTGCCCGGCCAAGACACACAAACGCTGTCCCGCCATGATTTCCAGGAGCCCCCTCCTCAGACGCCTGGGCCCCCCGCCCTCCACTGACCCCCCTGTTCTGAGCTCCTCTCTGTCCTGCGCTCCTGCAGCTTCTTCTGAGCCCCTGGTCTGGGACAAGGGGCTGCGGCCTGGCTCTTGACCCCACTGGACCCCAACGGACACAGTGGCCTTTGGAGTTACACAGGGGTTGGAGACACTGGAGGATGGGACTCCCCCAGGCTGGATGGTGGGGATTTGGGGGTAAGCAAGCAATCAGGACCTTCCTGACTGAGGGTCTTGGTCTTGACATCCTGGCTGGGGGCTTTCCTAAGGAGGTGACACCTGTGTGGTGGGTGTTCCCTGGAGCTCTGCTTCCGCCAGGCTCGGGCAGCTGCTACATCATGGGGTCCCATGATAGGGACTCTGTGTGTGCCCCACAAACACACTGCCCCAGATCCTGCAAGTGGGGGTGCTGAGGTGCAGCCTGCCTTCCCCCCCTCCTGGTCCTCATGCTCTACTCAAAACCCAGCCAGCGTCTGTCTCCAGCCCCAGATTTGGGCTCAGCCCAGGCAGGGCTGCCAGAGCCCAGAGGCGCGGCCCCCTCCCCAGAGCCATCGCCTGACATAACCTATTAGGTCTCCCGACCTCAGCCGGCTCCCACCAGCCACGCCAAGCTGCACCGCAAGCCGGCCGTGTCCCCCTGCCAGCCCACTGGGTCCCCGGATAGGCTGAGGAGCCCAAAGGACAACCCGCACATTGTAGGGGACCTTTGCCTCTCCCCCCTTCCCCGTGGCCTGGGCAGGGCCAGGCCTTCTGGGTGGCCTTAACTTCTGCCCTCTGCCCTTCCTTCTGAGTCCAGAGAGAGCTGGGGGCCAGAGATGGAAGCCGGGGTTCTGTGGGCCTCATTTCTGCACATCCCTAGTTTACTTTTAGGGTCCGGTGGCCAGGGGTGGGGTGAGAGAGGCCGGGAAGTTGGGGGCCCTGTGAACCGTGGGAAGGGG